AGAAGGTATTATTGGCAGCCTACAGATTCCTTAAATAGAAGTTTCAATACCTGAATTACTTTAGGTTAATGTGCCTACCTTCTGTATATGCATATCTGGATGACCTTGCACTGTAGCTCCCACATCTTGCCCTGTTCAGCGTCCTTTTTTATTTAGGGGGATTCTTCCATCCTACACGGCTAGAGAGGTACAACCCCTTAGCGTACCTAACAGGGTTATATGGTTATATATAGTTTATCAGCTCTTCAGTTTAAGCGCTTCAATCTCAATTTTTACAAAAAAGAAACTCATAGGTAGATAAATTACATTTGAACTTTTGAGTTATTTAGCTACTATTTATTTGTGTTAATTATATACAATCTTTATTTTAGAAATATATAAAATTGCTAATATTAAATATTATTATAGGGTACACCCATGGTTCTAGTTTCACTGAGTGTTATGGAGTTTCTGAAGAGAGAGCACAGCAGTAGCTGCTTGCTTTCAGACTGCCTTTCTCTAATGATAACTCTGCACAGGAGCCAGAGAGGAGAGTGTAGGATAGGGGTAGACAACCTTTGAGAAATATGTCATAAAATATGCAGCGCTCATAAACAGGTCTCAAGAACCACAAAAACCTGATAACATACAATTGTTCTAAATTAAGTATACCATTGAATATAAAGCATATATAACTCGTGACTTCTGTGGTGCATCCACGGTTGGAGAACCGGAAAAAAGTTATATATAATATATGACGGGTTCCTTTATTAATTACTTACCCTATGTTCCTGCGTTATGCTTATATGTTTATTCACCGGGTGTAATACCTGTCCGAATATTTTCCATCACAATAACATATATGCATATTAATTTATGTTATTATAGGCATCTTGTGAGCCATGTCCACAGAGGCATTTTTTATTTTTATAGTTATTTCCCCATGCTTTAACAACTATATACACTCTGCACACAGGGTTAGTGTCCCCTTTCTGCCCAATTGCATGCTAATGGCTCCACATATTTGATTGTCTCCATCTGTATCCCTTAACATGGGTTTCACCTTCTTCTGTCCATCTGCATTGTTCCTCAAGAAAATGGCCACCGTATGAGCGTACTGCGCATGCGCGGCTTTACCGCAATGACGTCACCGGTGCGTACTGCGCATGCGCACCGCGGATTATAAAAATGATCGATTTTCCTGCAATGCACCCCCTTTGAAAACGTGTGTGTGACACGAAACGCGTCAGGGAGGTGCCCCCCCACTGTCTGGACATATCTTTTAGCTGCCCCTTGTTCCTGTGACCTTTATTTGTAAGTGTGGTTTTTCTTATCATTGTGAATTACTACATAATAAATGCAATACTACACTATCAAAGCTTCTGGCCTGTGGCTCTTTTTTTTGGAGGGAGCCTGGGCTTTTTGAAGGTGCCTGGTTCCTCTTGGTCTCCTGTGTGTTGCTGGCTGGCTTGCTGGATTCATCTCCCTATTGGCTGATGTGCATCTCTGGAATCATCGTCCTGCTGTCCTGGGAACATGACATCTAGTGGCGAGATATTAGATGACATCATCCCTTCCAGTGGCTTCCTTTCAGAGTACCAGGAGTAGGTCTTAATTACTCCATGCTCCATGTGCTGAGATATCTGGTTAGTGCAAACTTCTTTCAGCTTGTCCAACACAAGAGTCACGAACTTTTTTCCGGTTCTCCAACCGTGGATGCACCACAGAAGTCACGAGTTATATATGCTTTATATTCAATGGTATACTTAATTTAGAACAATTGTATGTTATCAGGTTTTTGTGGTTCTTGAGACCTGTTTATGAGCGCTGCATATTTTATGACATATTATCCGAAGTTTTTTTGAGGTTTACTTTCTATGCTAGCAGCTTAACTAATTATCTTTATAATCCATACACTCATTTATTTGAATAATTATTAGACACCTAGCGCTGTTGTACTCCAATTTTTAAACCTTTGAGAAATGGAGATCTGCCTGAACAACATGAAAGAGATCAAAGCTCACTTGGGTTCAACAGCCTTTTTTTTTTTTAAGAAATAAGCTAGCAAGGCCTAACTAAATCTAAACAAAAATGTCACTGTAAAAATATAAAATTAGCCTACCTTAAAAGTGGACTGTGTCAGTCAATAGGGCAGTGGGTGGTGTCAGTAGGGCAGTGGACAGTGTCAATAGGGCATTGGATGGTGTGAGTTGACAGTGTCAGTAGGGCAGTGGATGGTGTCAGTAGGACAGTGGATGGTTTCAGTAGAGCAGTGAACATTTCAGTAGGGCAGAGGTTGGGGTCAATAGGACAGTGGATTGTGTCAGTCAACAGAGAAGAGGATGGTGTCAGTAGGGCAGTGAGCAGTGTCAGTAGTTTTTTATATTTATTTCTTTTTTACAAAATTTTAAATATTTTTTTTACAGTATTTTTTTTACTATTTTTTTAGCAGCCCTGTTTAGGAGTTTTGGTGTAATATCAGGGGTATAAACAGATTTTCACTTTTGAGACAGAGAAAGAGACCGAGGCCAGAGATTACCCAGTTCTTTTCTATGCCACCTCAGTTACACTGGACAGTGAATGAATGGGAAGTGTTCTGTGTTGAGCAGATACCTGTTCATTTACAAACTGAAGCATAGTAAACACGGTTTACTATGCTTCAGTTATACATGAATACATAGAGTGATCTGTATTGATCACTAACTGTGTTCATTCAGAAAAGGAAGGGGCCAATTAATTTACCGTCCCTTTCCTGTGTCCACCATCCTGAAACGATCCCCTGGGGAGAAGAGGGAAGCCAGCATAGCTTCTGCAGGGGGAGGAGGGCTTGGACTAGGGGAGCACACTGGGAGCCCAGGCAGCAGAGAGAAAAGGATTGTGGACAGGAGGGTCAGTATTTACTGGTACTGATCACCTATATTTTCCTCCTGAAGTTGATGAATGCCAGTGGAAGGTAGAGAAGGAGAATCTGACTTTCACCTGGTGCAGAAGGAAAATACAGGGATTGGTTCCAGTAAATGCCACCCTGCTGAACCTCCTGTCCAGGTTCCAGGGGTTAGCAAGGAGGGTTTGCAGTCTACCCATCACCTGCCCACGATCGACAGGTAGATTGCAACGGATGGGTTGCCAACCCCTAGTGTAGGAGAAATGAGTCACTATTATGATCACAAATCCTCTATTTATTACCCTAACAGGGTTTTTTTTTGGTAATAAGTAAAAAAGAAACTTAAGGAAATTCCCATAGTAATCAGACAGATTGCTCCTATCATTCATTGTGCTGCAGGGTTCAAAATGAAAACAAGAATTTGATTGGCTGAAAGTAGGGAACAACCACATTATTGTATTTTTATATAACTGTCCTCTTCGTATACACTAGGGCATTTTAACATAATAGCTGATAATAGTTCATTAGTCAATTAAAATAATATTATTCAGGGACTGTCAAGTTTAATTTCACCTAATCCTTTTGACATACAGCTCTGTGTCTCATTCAGTAATAAACTGCCATTTTACTTCTCTGAACAGATGCACAAAATCTATATTTAGAGACTATAAAAGCGATCTTTAATTAGCCTGACGTATCCATCACATTTATAATCACATCCCAGGTTGTTTAGTAAAATACTCAAAAACAATACAAATATAATAGGAAAGATTAATAATAGCCATTTGGGACAACTAAATTAAAAAAATGACTCACATGGCAACTGAATTTTAATACCAAGGTAAACTAGATTTGGTTTATTTGTATAATTGTATGTTCCAGGTAATACATGTGTGGGTAGAATACAAAATAGCCTGGAGTTTGACATTGTCATAAACCATTTAAAACCATTTGTGCAAATGACGCTTGTGATACAGGCTCACAAAAGACCAGGCTTTGCGGAGTGAAGAAAAATCACAGGTCACCGTGACTAATCATTTAGAGACTCATCAGAACTTGGATGTGAGTGGTGCTGCATATTCATATTACTCATAGGTTCCTGTAGGAAGAGATAAAATGTGAAGTGTTGTAATTATTCTTGTCTGTCAAACGTCATACTGTGCTTAGCTGATCATAATTTCAAACCAGCCTAGCAACATGCAGAGCCAATTTCCCCATAGTGATACTTTTAAAGTATTCCTAAACGAAATAAATAAATGCATCAATGAAGGAACTTAGATAAAATTTATTTATATTATGTGTTTAATGGAAGAACATGTTAGAACATAAAAATACATAAAACGGGCTCATATTATCTTAGCTTTTTATTTTTTTATGTTTAAAATATTTAAAGAAAAATTCCTGGTATGGTATATTTCTACTTAACTGTAACTATGTATATACCATACCTGGGAGATACCTCTGGAAGCTGGAAATCACTGAAGAAGACACGTTAAATCAGTGATCTTCACTTGCTTTTGGGTCCCATGCTGAGTGGCTGACCTGATGTATTCTAACACATGGGTGCCATTCAAAGAATGCTTTCCACTTTCTGAATGAATGCAAAACATTCTCCGACTGGATGAAGCAGAGAGGCTGGGTCATAATTTCATGCTCTCCACCTCATTCAATCAGGGAATGCTTTGCATTCATTCAGAAAATTTAAGGAATGCTCTGAATGGCACCCATGTGCCTACCTCCTTTGTTCAGAATGCATCAGGCCTGTTGCTCAGCACAGAACTTGGAAGCTAATAGAGATCATTAACGATGTTTGATTTGAAGACCCCTGATGTCTCATAAAAAAGAACCTCTCTAAATACATTATAACATATTAGGGACTTTTTGTCTGAACACTTAAAGTGTTACTAAACCCATGACCCTGCATTCACTATATCTGGTCTCCCAGAGTACACAGAACATGGAAATCCAATTATTTTAGTAAATACAAAATTATAAATACCTTTTCTCATCAGCAGTTAGAGCAGTCTTGTGACTTCTATCAGAGGCCAGCAGAACACTGGTTAAAGCATGGAGGAGGAGTTTTCATTCTCACCCAGTTGTCCTATGCGGCTGCATAACCCCTGACCCTCTGTCTGAACAGTGCTGATCATGGACATTCTCGTAAGAAAAAAAAACCTCTCTAGCAATGCACACCAAACTGAGCATGAGCAGCTTGCCCCCAGGGCTCTGTTCTATCAGCAGATGGATTGGAGACTGTGAAAGAAGTGGAGGACCAGAGAAGACAGGACTAAACATCCTCGCAATGCAGTCGATTAACCCCTTAGGTTCCACAGTGAGTATAACAAGCATGCTTTACTGCATATACAGACTGATTTTCCTGTTGTGGGTTTAGTAACACTTTAATAAACCCCACAAAAAAAGTTGAGCCCGCCCCACATACACACACTACAAACATATACACACCTGTTGGTGATGCCTATATATGAAAACATTACTTTTGATGCACATGCCAGATGTCGCTGTGCACACTGGAGTAATAATTCTAGGGCCACATTCACAGTTAACATTAAACTTATGACTTGCTGGAGCTTTAAAAGTATCCCTATGGAAAATAATAAACAATAAAGCTTCACATACTGGGTATCTATTTATTCAGCACAATCTCATCTTTTACATTTTACCAAAAAATGCATGCGTGATAAACCATTGCGCAAATATCATGTGTTATAAAAATTTGGAACTACCACTGTTTTATTCTCCAGGGTCTCTGCTTTAAGAAAATATACAATGAGGGTTTTGACGAATCTTCAAGCCTATATTTTTAAAACATGATTTTTTTTAGATGTGGGCAAAAAATGCAAAAATATCTCTGGCAAAGAAATGGTTAAGCCCCTTTCACAGTTAGTGCTCGTTCACATATATGCAGATTGGATGCAGTTTGAACCGCATCCAATCCGCATGGCATGTAAAATGACATTGCTTCCTATGGTGCCTGTTCACATATGTCTGGTGCACTGCCAGTGCAAATTCAGTGCGGTTTTAAAAAGAGTCATGTCCAATTTCTGAACAGGGCGGACTGGTTCAGGTGTGGATTCCAGGCTGTTGACTTCTATGGGAACCGTTTCTAAACCTGACATGTATGAACAGGATAAAATCCTGAGCTGAACCTGACCTGAACTGGTGAACAGCTACTGTGTCAATTATCTGTGAAACCTAAGCTTCAATCCACACCGAACATGCGTGAATCAGCATTTAAGTGCAATCTGACCCTGGCCACCATTTGCTATGCTGTGCTAGGCATGCCACAGGACTTGTTTTCTGCTGCATTCCAGAGCCCCTCAGGATTTTTATAATTCTAGTCATGCACTGTTTTTCATTGTTAAACTAGGCAAATTACTTGTTATGGGTATGTTAATGTTTGCATATTATTTATTATTATTATTTATAAGTACTTATATAGCGCCGTGAATTTTGGCAGCACTTGTACATTCACATCAGTCCATGCCCTCAAGGAGCTTACAATCTAAGGTCCCTTAATCACATTCACACATACTAGGGCCAATTTAGACAGAAGCCCATTAACCTGCCAGCATCTCTTCGGAGTGTGAGAGGAAACCGGAGTGCCTGGAGGAAACCTTCAATATCAATTCTCTTCTATTAGTTTCTAATAGGTATTTTATTTCTGTCTTATTTCAGATTGCAAGTAAAAAATGCGCTTTATTTCCACTTTTCCAGCCCAGTTGGCATAGCACCTACTTTACATTTGTTACATGTTCTCATTCAAAGAGCATAACCAAAACAAAATATCTAAAAATTGTTGTTTACATTTTACTTTCTCTGAAAGCTCCAAAACTGAGGTTTTCCTTTGCTATGCAGATCTCATAAGTTGTAAATTAGGTTTGATCACTCTCTGTTCTAGCAAAGAGTAAAAGGAGAAGTACAGCCAAAGCTCATTTGACTGTATTTCTGTGGATCACAGGAGTGCAGTTCATTCTGCACTCCTGTGACCCATTTTTCTGCAATCAGTGGGATAAAGCCCACTGTCGGCTGACGTAACAGAGCTGGTCCAGGCTGAAGAAAGATCATGACCATATTGTCGGGATCCACCCAAGTACCTGGACCGGCACCTGACTCAGCCACTCCCGCCCCTCCACAGCCCAGCGCTCCAGTGAACACTGAGGGGGGTCGGGGGGCAGAGCAGACAGTGGTGACAGACAGTTCGCTCAGTTCTCAGAATTAGAGCCAGCGGGGATCTGATCAATGCTGCATCCACCTAGGTAAGCATGACTTAAAAAAAAAATCCCATAATTCTCTTTTGAAACCTAGAAAGCCTAGAAGCTGTGTTTTTACATTGTATGTTAGTGAGGGGAAATTCGATCTGTCCCTACTTTCTTTACTAAAAAATGACATTTTTGTATATGTATTACATAATTACTAGGTTATTATTGTCCACTTTGCTTAGATTAACATGACGTTTTGCATATCTCCCAGAAATTTTTGTTATTATTGTCAGGTACTATACATCACAATCATAATTTTGGCACAGTCATAATTGCACGTGGTGATGATGTGATTATAGATTTTGCTGTAAAGGAAAACAGTCAGTCTGCATGTATACTGTGCCTTCTTGTAAATTATGGCAAGTACTCCAGTTCCCAGCGGATAAATAACTACCTCAAGCAAAATTATAATTTCACACCTACATGATATTTTAGCGTGTGACTTAAATAGAGAAAAAGACCATGTGCTAAAATAAAGCATGTAAAAATAACTCAGGCATACTTTTCCTACTGATGATTTTGTATAGTATGGCCATTATTATTCTACTTAGTAATCATTCTCCGATTCTTGTATGTCTACATTTTGTTTATCCGTTACAATTTGGTGCAGTTGATTTTGTAAACACTAATTATGCACCATTTCTGTATTTGCAGCATATATCACTTCCTCTGTACTTTGCGACTCATCAACAAACTCTTTTTTGAGGCAAAATAGAGAAAGAAACACATCTTGCTTTTAATGGATTGTATAATGGTTTTTTACATATTTATTTTATTTACCTATTATAGTCAGAACTAAACGTTACAATTTAAAAAAATAAGCTTTATTATTAAATTAGCTTTGTTTGCACATTTTTGAAAACTGAAAAAAAAATGTTTTTCAAATTCTTACCTGTTTTTGTTAATAAAATATTTATACATAAAATATTTATAAATAGAGAATTATAGTATAAACTTTATACTATAAAGGATATAATTAAAAGAAATGTATAGGTCTATAGCTAAAATGTGATAATACTTCAAATGAAAGTATACAGTGTGCCACTACTGGCAACTATGCTAAAATCAGAAAGTCCGTTCAATTTACCCTAACCCGAATTCTGTATATTAGAAGAAACAGAAAAAACTCACTTGCAACCCTGTAGAGGGCCAGTAGGAATGTATTTCCTGGAGCCTATGTTGTGTAACTCCCTCTTTCATTCTCTGCTCCCTGTATCTTTAATGACTTTCAAACTTCCAAGTCAGGGTTGTATCTGATTTATCACTGTGAGAAGCTCCTTAGTACTGGCAAATTTTTACATCAGGGTTTCTGTGAATGAAGTACAGGCAGGCACTTCATCATCTCCAACAGATGCGTTCCAGGATCTCCAAAAAAAGGGCATGAACCGGTGCAGTACAGGAGCAAATGAAGAGAATGGAATCAATCCAGAACAGCTAAGCAAGTAGACTGATTCCTGTATACATTTTATGGCTTCATTTTATTTGGAATCGAGTGTGCCAGTAAGAAAGCATAATTGTTTAAATATGTTGAAATGTTTCATTTTGTATACGTCTATATTTCAGCATGGTATTAGTTTGTGCCATCCCCTTCAGACCTAAATTTCGGACAACAAGTAAAAGCTTTGTTCAATTAAAATTACTAGTTTCTGTTTTTTCAACTTATTTGTTTCTGTAAACACATGACAAGCAATCATCAGGGTAATTAAAATCAAGTACATGTTGTATTACAAGAGGTCTGTAATGATAGAGATGATGAACTCATTCACTGGCAATGTTCTAAAAAAAATCTTGTTATATCTTGTTGATATTTGTTATTTAAAGAACTCTGGGATAGGCAAAAAAATCACCTATTAGTACACCCCCCTACACAAAATGCTAAATAGTTTAAAAAATAATTGAAATTCTTTACCATTTATGAGAAAAGTCTAACTGACGTTTCATGACCTCACCTCTTTTATCCAAAGATAACAGCATCTGCATCTGCCAAGGAGAAGATGTAACAGCGTCAAATCCTCTTCTCTCTCACCTCAGTAAAAGGAAACTACAGTTCCTATCAACCACAGGGAATTGTAGTAAATGTGGGCGGGTACACTAGGCCTGTACATGTTGAATGTGTGTGAGAGTGTCGGTCCACCCACCACTGCAAGTGGGGCTGAATTACATCACTGCTTCCTGGAGAAAGAACTACAGAAGGGATGTGCCAAGACCAGTGGCCAAAGGAATAAGAGGCATAGAAGCCACTGGCTTACAAACGGGAAACCAAAGATAATTAATGGTTTGATCTGAAAATTAATAGGGTATTTCAGAGCAACTACTGAGTGAATCAGAAGATGGATGACATAATCAGTAAATGTAGGAAATCAGCAACAAAGGCATGTAAAGAAGTTTTTGCCTGGAGGTTTACTTTAAGTAATGAGACAAAAATAAATGATTCAAGCAAAGACATAAGACATAAATATATACAGACTCAATGTTAATTAGCCACTGGGTTAGCAGGGACATCACTTCATGTTACACCCTAAATATCAGTGTAACATATAACATGTTACTGAAGGTGAACTTATCCTTTAAAGAGGTTATCTAAAGCAGTGGTTCTCAACCGCCAGGCTGCAACCACCCTCCTGCCAGTCCCTGGTTTCCTGTCTCCTTTGAAAGGAGGTAGATGGGGGCATAGCATGCACTCTCTTGCACTTCCACCAGCTCCTGTACTGGGGGAATGCTGGGATCATTCTGAATGCCCTGGTTACCTGACAATCCCAGCAGAGTGATGCACAACAGGCTACAGCTGCCCTACTAGTACAGAGCAACAGTCAGTGCCTGCTGGAGGCAGCCTTGTGACTTTGCTCTTGTTCCAGGGGCTAGAGGAACAGAGCAGATACCTTGTTCATGTAGGTTGTTGGCTTATATTCTGTTGATACATGTCTGCACCATTTACTGCAGTGGAGCCCCAATTGTAGTCCCATCTAGAGCTAGAGAAGGGAGTGAAACCTATTGTTAAGCACAGAGCCTTGCTGAAAATGCACAGAAGCCTCCTATGGCCAAGAATTGGCTGAACTGTAGCACACAATGTAGGTTGGCAGGCAAGTGTGTAATCTACTTCTGGGTTGTTGTG